AGGACTGGGGGAGGCATCTGATCCAACAGTCTTGACGAAGCCCTCTCCAACTCTGAGGCCCCTGCCCGACGGCCGCCAGGACCCTCTGTAGAACTGCACTCAGTCTGCTAGGAGTTGGGAAGATTCAGTGAGCTGGGTTCTGGCCTCCTGGTGTCAGAGATGCGGGATGCAGTCTTTCCAATGCATCGATGCATGAACTCAGAGAGAGATAGCTACAGGGAAGGTCAAGGTGCCTCCCAGCGGGGCAGTGAGCGGAAGGCAGTGAAGCAGGTGTCCTTCCTGCTAATACTTGCAATAGAGCACTGCACTTGGGAATCCGGGGTACAATGAGGGGGTGGAATCTAACGTTTGTAATAGGGAGCAAATTCGAATCTGTAGTGAAGACAGTTCTTTTGTTTCTGTACTTTTTCTTATTAAGGGAAAATGTTTGCATCGGCCAGTACTTCACGTAATCATCTTAACTGGTGCTTACTGAGCAGATCTTTGTTATTATCATAGATCTTACAGCTGGGCTAGGTAGTGGACTCCACGATACCTATTACGTATTCAAAACTAAAAGTTAATACTGAGCTAACAAAAATTTGCGTTTTTGAGCCAACACTTGCTGTACTCTAGTTCTGCTTGACTACCCCCCATTAAGAAAACATCTAAATCTCTCCCGAATCTACTTTTCCCTCCCCAGCCTGACCTCGGGACAGCTGCCTCGATCGTTTGATGAAGCACTGTTCTCTTGGGTCAGGAGCGTGGAGACTGACATCAGTAAGTCCTTTCGTGCGTGTTCTCCGTCTGGATTGTTTGTTATGGGCGTTAGCTGAAGGCTTTCCAAGGGAGAAATGTCTACATGCATACAATAAATAAAGCGCTCCAAGTGCAGGCCAGTGATGGGACGTGTTAGGAACCACAGAACGCTTGGTATAAATTAGCACAAAGGAAGGAGAAGTGAGTTGACTTTTCTCGGAATAGTTGAATGTTTACTTGGGCTGTCACTGATATAGTAAGCGTTCCCATGTGGGTAGAGGTCTCCGCCAGGAACTGCCTAGAGAAGCGGGTGAGGACGCGGACGGCTGAGGAGCACCCCGGAGGCGCTGGCAGGAGTGCTGGCGGCGCTTGTCACTGAGCTGACAGAGGGAGCACAGGACCCGGGCCGGGAGCACGGCCCTCCAGCCGGGCGCCTCGCCCTGCTGGCTCCAGAGCCTGGACTCCTGTGATGTTCTGGGTGGGATTTTGTGATTTCACTTTTATTGACTATCAGTCAGTTAATCAATAAGGATGAGTGTCACAGGTTTTCCTAAGGAAGAATTTTGAGTAAACCCACGTGCAGCTCCAAGGTCGGTCTCAAAGAGGCAAATGTGTTGCCCTCTGGGTGACAAGTAAGTCTCCGAGCCTTGTTCTTGGGCTGTCGCGGGTTGGGGTACAAACTGCATTATTATGATGAAACCAGCCCACTAGCGATGACATGTGTCAGTCATGATGAATGGCGAAGATCTGCACGCGTGTGCTGAACTGTTGGATGACACGTGGGTTCTTACTTTCAACAAATCAGCAGTTAAGGCTCTTACCATTTCGTTAAGGAGCATATGGCCACTGGTTTCAGTTCTGTATTGAGGCAGGTTGCTCATTGGCTGTTTTACTGAGGAAACAGAAATTCGTTGGCCTAAATCATTAGTTGGTGGAATAATTAATTGAGAAAGCCTGAGTGATGATGGGATGATGCTGATGCAGCCATGCCTATTACGAACGCAATTTCTGAGCGATTTTTATTTAAGCAAATAAACTAAACTGAGGTAGTGTGCTACTTTTTTGAGTCCTGACATCAGGACACGTGGTATCATTCAGGTGCTTATCCACTGGAGACGGGCTCACGGGCAGATGTCATCAATGAGCAAATTCATAAACTCTCGTCCCCGCCAGTTTCCAGGAGACTTGGCGCAGCAGTGGACGTCCCGCACTTGGGGCTGCGTCAGCCTTTGTGCCGCTGTTTCCATAGGAGCGCGAAGGTTTGTGGGCCCACCAGGCGCACGTACACACTGAGGAACGTCAGTGTTTGCGTTCTGTTTTGGTGGCTCTTTAAGCTTCTATAGGTTCTTTAAGGAACAGCATTCCATAAGTGATTTAGAAAAGCAGTTAGCGGGTGAACTCATCTGCAGCACGTTGAGCAGGGGCAGCGTGGACCGTAGTAGAGAGTCACCGCGAATCCACTCTCGTGTCTCTGACTTGGCCTGGAGTGTAACCCAGAGATGTGCTGACTCCTACCTATGTGGGCGGCAAGTACACACAGATGTTCCTAATAATTTTAATCATTTCTCCTTGTTTTTACTGCTTGATTCGATGGCCATTATATTATTTAAATCAAACAAATACGTCAGTTAATAAATATAAAGCATTGTTCCCTCTTCCAAATTACGTAACTTGATAAATATAAAGTGCTTTCTCGCCCTAAGTGTTCGTGCTGGGGCATGAACCAAGGTTGATGATTAATTGATTTCTACACAGCTGCACCACCATGGAGAGCAACTCAGTGGGGACTTTTTAATTCTCTTAGAAGTTTGCTTTTCACTCCTCAGAATGAACACCTCCGCCTGATTTAAGGGCTGTCTTCTGGTGCGGGCGAGGAGCCAGTGTGCCAGTGCAGGCAGTGGTCAGAGTTCATGGACTTTGCCTGTGAGGTTTGGTCATGGGTGTGCACTGAATTATTTCAGAAGGATACATGATGCATTCATAAACAGCACAGAAGTGGCCATGCGTGGACTGATGATGAAAATATGTTATGAATTAAGAGTTATGATGGATCCAATTCAGCACAGCTGAATTTGTTAGGACAAATGGGTGAAATGCGTTTCTATAATTTTCAGAGAGTTTGAGTCAGTCGCTCCATTTTTTTTGTAGCCCAGTGGACTTAGCCCTTCTCTGTAGACAGTGTTATGGATTGTTGGCCCATTGAGGGGGGAGATAGGACATGGAAAGCCTTGCTTTTTCCTTAGCAGTGGTCGAAGGTGGCAGTGCACTGTACCGTCTTTAAGATACGGATGCGAAACGCTCAATGCGTAACGTGGGGTTCCGTGGTGCTAGGAAACAGCGGAATTCGTCTTTGCAGCGGTGAGCCTCATGGTGGCGCCATCCGGGCCTCTGGCTTTATGGGTGTCACCTTTCACAGGCATCCTCACATTCGCAAGGGTGCTTTGTCCCCTCCAACTCCTGCACCATGACTTTCACTGTGCAGTCGACGAGTGAGTGGAAAGCAGTGTGGCTGAAGCAAAGCACGGGTAGCGGGTCTGGATCCACGATGAGTTTCGCGGGCATCTGAATCAGCTCAAAAGTTTTCCCCAGTAGAAAACCATCTGGACTTGTGTGGTTTGCTTGGGGGGGATCTAGAGAGATTAATCATCGTTTTTCTTCTTTGAGTAGTTGATTCAAAGATTTTCATTATATTGCATCATACTAAAAGTTAAATAATAGATGGAAAGGCTACCACCATATAGTTGTTGAAAATGTGACAAGAAGCAATCACACTGGTAATGTAGGACTAACTTTCCAAAAATCTGTTAAGAAGTTAGACTTTTTATTGAGATCTGTCGATTCCTCCAGAATGCCCAGACCACACTGGTGTCTGTCGTCCTCCCGCCGTGAACATCTCGGCTGGTGCTGCTGTGGGCGAGCAGCAGTGTTAGTAATAATCAAACTCCTGTTCTTATTCCTGGTTTGTCTGGTTGTTCATGTGTGGGCACTGAAATAAGGAAATGATGGCTATACGCACAAATGTGGAAACGAGAGCGCCAGGCCCGGAGCACGGGCAGTAACGTGTTAGGGGCCAGGAGGTTGGAAGAACTCCTTTCAGCACAACTGAAGCTCATTTTAAGAAAGAGGAGAGGAATTTAGTGAATTTTCAGAACTGTTTGCTATTCCACATTATTTCTGCACCAAAGTTGATTTATGCATTTCCGTGTTGGAAGAGATCCAGTGTGTTAACTGCTCGGGGGAACTGTTTAGTTCCAGCTCTTAGAAGCTGGAACACGTTGGTGTGCAGTGTGGTGGGATGTCCCTTTGTGGATTTTGGTTAATCATTATACCACCTTTAAAATCAGAGGAATTAAATGCATACGGCTAGGCCGGCGCCGCGGCTCACTAGGCTAATCCTCCGCCTAGCGGCGCCGGCACACCGGGTTCCAGTCCCGGTTGGGGCGCCGGATTCTGTCCCGGTTGCCCCTCTTCCAGGCCAGCCCTCTGCTGTGGCCAGGGAGTGCAGTGGAGGATGGCCCAAGTGCTTGGGCCCTGCACCCCATGGGAGACCAGGAAAAGCACCTGGCTCCTGGCTCCTGCCATCGGATCAGCGCGGTGCGCCGGCCGCAGCGCGCCGGCTGCGGCGGCCATTGGAGGGTGAACCAACGGCAAAGGAAGACCTTTCTCTCTGTCTCTCTCTCTCACTGTCCACTCTGCCTGTAAAAAAAAAAAAAAAAAAAATGCATACGGCTGACCGTGGGCCGTTGATGCCAGTTGGAATAAGATTCTCCCAGATGTTGGCGCTCCAGTCTCAAGGCTTTGCGGGAATCGAGTGTGGAGGCTTCCTGTAGGTGATCAAGAGTTCTGTTCCCGGGAGTTTGTGATTCGTGAGAAAAATGCAGACATCAAAGAACTGAAGGGAGGCCGGCGCTGTGGCTCACTAGGCTAATCCTCCGTGTGTGGCGCCGGTACTCTGGGTTCTAGTCCCGATCGGGGCACCGGTTCTGTCCCGGTTGCCCCTCGTCCAGGCCAGCTCTCTGCTGTGGCCCGGGAGTGCAGTGGAGGATGACCCAGGTGCTTGAGCCCTGCACCCGCATGGGAGACCAGGAGAAGCACCTGGCTGCCGGCTTCGGATCAGCGCAGTGCACCTGCCGTAGCGGCCATTTGGGGGTGAACCAGCGGAAGGAAGACCTTTCTCTCTCTCTCTCTCTCTCTCACTAACTCTGCCTGTCAAAAAAAATTAAAAAAAAAAAAAAAGAACTGAAGGGAAAGACTGCCGACTCTGGACCAGTGATGAGACTGGAGGGTTCTGGATCAAAAATCGTGATTAAAGCCATCTGGAACTCTGAGGTCCATTTTAAAAAGGGGCCTCCCTTTTCTGTCTGTTAAAATGGGCTTACAGTAGAAGATCAGAAAATCCATGGGTCTTGATTGTGGGTGTACACAGTTTATGGGTAGAGACTGAATTTTTGTAGATGAGTCAAGGTGTAGACAGAGCAGTGTGTAAGCGGGTGACTGCAGGAGCGCTGGGAGTGAGTTGATGATGACCTCCTGTAGGGGACTGTTGTCCTGCGACCCTGAGTCCCGGGGGAGCTATTGAGGAGTTCTGTGGCCGCTTTCTAGACGCAGATAGGCTCAGTGTTACTGTTCTATGGAGGAGGCTGGATGAGTAGTCTTTAGAAAAGGGAAAACAACATAACAGAAGAGGAGAAGAATGAGCGTACTTGTCTTGACGATTTGCCTTATAAAAATCATTATTAATTTTTTTTTTTTTGATAGGCAGAGAGAGAGACAGAGAGAGAAAGGTCTTCCTTTTTTTTTTTTTTTTTTTTTTTTTTTTTTTGACAGGCAGAGTGGACAGTGAGAGAGAGAGACAGAGAGAAAGGTCTTCCTTTGCCGTTGGTTCACCCTCCAATGGCCGCCGCTGCAGCCGGCGCACCGCGCTGATCCGATGGCAGGAGCCAGGATCCAGGTGCTTTTCCTGGTCTCCCATGGGGTGCAGGGCCCAAGCACCTGGGCCATCCTCCACTGCACTCCCTGGCCATAGCAGAGGGCTGGCCTGGAAGAGGGGCAACCGGGACAGAATCCGGCGCCCCGACCGGGACTAGAACCCGGTGTGCCGGCGCCGCAAGGTGGAGGATTAGCCTATTGAGCCACGGCGCCGGCTTCTCTGTGGGTAATTTAATGGACACATGAAGACATGAGGTCCCATTCTAAATTCTTATCTGATCTGAATTCCTGTCTGTTGGTATTGATGAGCTGTTTTGTGTGAATAGGACATATCGACACCACAGTTAATTTTTCAGAAGTGGGCTAACCACAGCCCAGTAGGGAGCCAGCGTAAGGCTTCACTCTTGTCCATGCTGCCGACGCTGTCTCCTAGCTCTAGCCTGGGTTTGGGGCTGTGAGAGCCATTCTGTTCCGGGTTCTCCATGGGTTTACCTTTGAGTGTGTGTGTTGTTGGTGTAAGTGAATGGATGACCACATGTTGCGGGAGTCTTTCCATAAATGAATAAAGAACTGAATTAATATTTTGTGAGAAAATGTCATAACGAATTTAAATGTATCCGTTTCTATTCAAATATAGTCGTTAAAAAAGATGGTCCGAGCTGTTGCCTTACAGCATAGGGTCTACGGACAGATGCGTGCAGCCATCAGAGGCCCTGTTTGTGTGATGAGTTCACAAGTCTTTATTGTCTAATTAAAAAAGTAGTTCAATCGATCAATACAAGGAGTTCCTTTCCTGGGTCCGCGCAGCGATGAGAAAGAGACTTGAATCAACTTTCTGATTAATCTGGTACCACACAACCGATGTGTTTTTTTTTTTTTCCTTAAATCAGTCAAAATCTGTGCTGTTCATTCTTGTGAAAATTGGCATTTGATTCCACAGAGTGAAGATTGTGGCTGATGGAATTGGCCTCTGCTGATGAAGATTTTGACTGTTGCCCTTGTGGGTAAGGCCAAAACAAATACTAGGGTAAGATCTTGTGCACTGCAGTGAAATTTCATTAGTGTTCCTTGAGTTCTGTCAAGTAACCCCTGAACAGAAGAATGAGCGGAACCTGCTGTGAAAGGAAGGTTATGGGTGATCCAGTTAAGCACATTGTGGGCACGAGCAAGACAAGACAGTCTATGGATTTTATGAATTATGAAATGATCCATCCTATTTTTTTTTTACTCAATTGAATGTTTATGGAGTAATAAAATTGATCCCGTGACCATCCAGTGTGGTCACCCCGTCCACGTGTGTCCGCTGGTGTTTGCCGCGTGGGCGGTGGTGAGCGTGTGGGGGTTGTGTGTGCTTGTGCCCCACACGGAGTCGCACCAGCAGCTCCTCTGGAGGGCGGAGAGCGCAGGACGGGCAGGCTTGGCTGGGACGTGGGCCAGGTGTCAGCCGGCCCATGCGTGCTCGCTGTGGCCAGTCCCAAAGGGATCCAGCCTCTTGGGAAAAGCTTAGAGCCTGGAACGGGTTCTGGTCTAGGACGTTGTCCGCGCCTCGGAAACAAACATCGGGGCTGCTGATCTCACTCTGCGAGTGAGCGGGAGCGAATCGTAGGCAAAGGCAGAGATGATTGCTTAGCTCGGATCAATGATGAGTGCCCTGGGGTGTCTGAATCCAGGATTTTGATTAAACCCCGTAACTCTGAGGTCCACTAAAAAGATTCCTGTTTATCATCTCAGTGGGAAATGAGCTGCAAGGAATCAGGGTTTTGTTTTGCAGCTTCTGCGTATGGGTTACATTATTTTTCAGTAAAGCAGTGCACGAATAAATCAAGAAACATATAAATGAATAAAGACAAAATGGGCGTTCCTGGTCCAAATATAAGCGTGTGTAATGCAATAAGAATCATTGCTAATACATTCTGAAGCACCAAGTTCCAGTAAAATAGATTGACCAAAGCTGACTCTCTTGGGTAAGAAGCATTTAGATAAATGAATGTTGGAGTCCTTATTGTTTTTCTGGGTTAGGTTGTTGGTTTTTTGTTTTAATTAAGAAAAGGGTGAAATATTTACCTAAATTAATTATTGATTAAACTACCACCCAATGCAGAGAGGGCTTACATGGGTCTGTGTGGAGATAGGTCCTGTGAGCAGTTATGATTAATCTTTACTGTGTTTAAATCCAGCTCCTCAGTTTAATAAAAAAGTTTCTGATATTTTCCCTATATCTAACGAGCTTACAGACCATCACTAATATTGTCCAGTTTTTGTGGAGTTCACAGATTCACTGGTATTATTATAAATGCAAAAACCAGAATCAGTTAATATTCCAGTCAGTTGAACGGAAGGCAAAGCTTGGAGCAGGGAGGCCCGCGTGTCGTGGGAGCAGGAGTGATTAATCAAGCTCTGTGCAGCCCCTCCTCAGACAGAAAACAGACGGGCACGGTGACTACGCGGATATATTCAGATAGGACTTTCTTTCTGGCTTGTGTGCATAATTTCCTTAAGACACAGGCTAGATCAGTGACCCCCTGTGCAGTTATTTAACTCTGTATGAATGCACGCGTGCCTTGCTAATGGCCAAGGCTGTTCCTGAACGTAAGCTTCGGATCAGTCTGATTCCTGGGAAGAGGAGTCAGCCCTTACCTTGTTAAAACAGAGAAATGTGGAGCAGTGATGGGTCTTGTTGTTGTGTTTGGTGTCATTAGAGTCATTTACTTTAGAACATGAGTTAATAAGTGCATCAGGAGGGCTGCCCTTTGGGGTTTAAATATGTGGCAAGCGCTGAAGTTTATTCCTAATAAATTATTATTAACTTGATCCCAGTTTAAAAAGCTGGGTCTTGGCTGATCTACCTGTCTAATCGTCCGCTCATCTCACCTGTTTGCCTTGCACTCCACAGGACGGCCGTGCGATGGTGCCCTCTCCACTCATGAGGACGAGCCTGGTTGCTGTCCTTTTGAGTAACGAGTGCGGAAGCTGACGTAAGTAACAGAGTAACTGCTTCTTGTTTGGTGGTGTGTCTTGGGTGCTGACTCTGTTATTGCAAATAAATAGACGTACAAGTGAAATGAACGAAGGTCATTGTGGACGATGTGGGGCATCTGCGGTCCATAAAGGAGGTAAAAGCAAGACCGTCTATTAATGTTCATAGTTAATCACCCAGTTAATTAATACAAAAATTAACCAGTTTTATTTTTGAGTCACATTTGATTTAAACCTCCCTCTATTCACAAACTCGAAGTTCAGCCACATTCCAAGATGTAAGATACAGTCACTACATTAAGTGTTGTGTGAAATGGTGGGTTCATAGATTTTATTTGTCTCTAAAATAGGGCCGGAGTGTCCCTGGCCACTGGGTGTGGGAAAGCATACTGCACAGGGTCCAGAGTGGGCTTTTGTTTGGTGTGGACCAAGGGTTATGATCAGCCCAGGTACACATCAGTCACCTCCGTTACCTCTTAGCCTCCATTAGCCTCTGGACACACAGTGTAGTGGTCAGTGAAGTTTTGCACATTTTTGTGGGTACTGATAGCATCATCATAAGCCCATTAGTGATTGAATCAATATGCTAATGTATTAATGAGGGAAGGAAAGCAGTCTGGGAGTGTATAAGGAAACAGTGAATATTATTCAAATATTTCTGAATCATTGAGGCCCACTCCTATGTTACCTCTTTGGATAAGGAACATATCGACAGATGAGCTTTTCATTTTATTATGAACAAAAAGGAACAAGAAGAAACTGTTAAATAAGTAAGTAAAACATTAACCCAGTAGCTAAACAAAAGAGGGTCGAATAATGACCAATATAGAAGTGCAGGTTGTAGAGTAAGAAACTGACTTGTTCCGTTTTATCTACGTGCTGTCTAGGAACAACAGAAAGAGCATGGCTCTGTCCACTGGTCCATAGATGTAGGCAGCTGGACTCTGTTCTAGTTCTGAGTTGGTGGTGTGTTTATCTTGTTCATTTTCTTTAGATAAGTGAATAGATGAGTAAGTGAATCCATGAGAAAGCACGTACACAAAGCCACAGCCCGAGACGTTATCAGCGGCACATGCATGAGCTACGGGAAGCGTGGCCGTCGGGGACACTGTGTGTGCAGCAGCATTCAGATAACGCAGTCCATTCAGAAGTAGACACAAGTTAGCATCTCCTTGGGAAGAGGTCATAGAGACAACTTTTCATAGAACATAGAATTCTTTCTCTCACCTGTGATGTTGGAATTCATTGTACTTACACGGCTAAAAATTAGCTTTGTGCTAGTCACAGGCCAATCCTAAGCCAGTCAGAAAATTCTCTCGCAAGTCAAGGATTTCCGTTAATCTGCTGATTCATGCCACCCATGACAAGGGGGAAGTCGCGGGGGCTTCCCTCTTCCCAGCATTCGGTGGCGCTCCACAGGCTGGCCGCAGGGGGCCCGTCTTCATTATTCTTCCCGGATGACCTTCTTGGTGGTTTCCTGTGTGGAGCTGGACGGCATAGGCCGACGTTGCGTGATGGTAGTGGTGACTTAAGTCTAATAGCAATGATCTTGTTGTTAGACTTGAGTTAATGAGTTTTGATTTTATTATTATAAATGGATCAATCATAGAATGAATAAGTGAGTAAGTGAAAAAGTAAATGCGTGGAGCGTTTTCCAATGTGAATCTGTGGTGAGGCAACCGATGCTATTAACACAAATAAAAACACCAAAGTCATGAAGATGTGTGGAGCAAGGACTTGATCTCTTTGTCTAAGTATCTTGAAGACATTGAGTGTAAGCGACAGCCCAGATTGTTCCGTGTCAGTCATGTCGTTAATTTTATTAGAACAATTTGTTAGTGTTACCGTTACCACAAATAGCCCACATGAAAGGGTCGTCGCTTGTATGTCTCCTGTATGTCGCTTGTATGTCGCCTGTATGAAGCAATATGAGGGACTGCCTTCCTTGGAGTGAGCGCCTCCATCTGATTTCAGAACTGCGCCGCAACCTTGACCTCGTGGCTGCCTCTCTGCCTTACCGTGCAGACGCGCGTGAGGAATAGTCAAACCTCTGTCCTTGCTATTAATAAATACTAAAATCACCAAAGTCCTTTAACAAACAGAAGCTCAAACCTAAACAGTAAAAACAATGACCCAGCGCCTGGTCTGGAAAGCCGTCTTCTGTTTGTTTTCCCAATAAAAGATGCGATCGGAATTTGGCACATCCTTAAATGGCTAATGGCGGAATCCAGGGGTGGATGGAGAGAGGGCCCCTGTTCCCACTGTCTGTTCTGCTTTGTGCCCGCAGAGCCGCGCTGCCGGGTGGACCACGTCCTCCTCCATGGCCACAGCTGTGCAGTGTCACCTGTTTCCCGCGTGAGTACAGTTGAGTTCTTGCCTTGGTTTGGGTGGGTTTTAAGCCATATTTCCTGTATTGTTCAGAGAGTTATGTATAAATTGTGATGGCTAACCATGGCCCAGAGATAAATATGGCATCGCCATGAAGTGCTGGGATGATTAATCAATATTGCACAGTTAAAACTGAGTGCTGCAGAGATATGACCAGTGTCCAGGAGGATCCTATAAATAGCAGTTAAAGTACACCCAAGGATCTCGTCCCTAGTGTTCGTGATTCATAGGTCTGTGGTTAGTGTTCGTGAAATGATGAATTAGTTAGGACGAGAGCGGAGGCCGGTCTTGGATCGATGATGGTGACTGGCGGGGTGTGAGTCACGGGTGCTGACGGCTGAGCCCCAGCGCGGTCGGAAGTGGAATCTACACCCGCTGATGGCTGGGTGTTAGGAGTGTTGTTCTTGGTGCTTGTGTTCATGCATTCTCGTTGTAATCTTCTAATTGGATCAGTGAAATCATCAAACAAATATGTAAATAAATAAAGAAGTGTAGCATTGTCCAGCCATGACTCTACTCTGAGAAGCAAGGAGCTAAGTAGGATTCATTTGAGAGGCAGAGTTACAGACAGAGAGACTGAGAGACAGAGAGGAGTCTTCCATCGGCTGGTTCACTTGCCAGATGGCTGCAGTGGTTGCCGGTGGGCTGATCTGAATCAGGAGCCGGGAGCTTCTTCTGGATCTCCTACGTGGGTGCGGGGGCCCTCCTCCCCTGCTTTCCCAGGCCACAGCGGAGAGCGTGATTGGAGGAGGAGCCGCCAGGGCAGGAACCGGTGCCCGTGTGGGATACCTGTGCTGCAGGAGGAGGCTTAGCCTACACGCCACAGCGCTGGCCCCTATTAATATATATTAAAATCGCCAAGAGCCATTAAGAAGCAAAAACTCAAATGTAGAGAGTAAAAAAAATCATGTCCCAACACTTGTTTGGGTATACCCATGTTTGTAAATAAAAAAGTTACCAGAATTGAAGACATCCTAAATGCTGATAAGATCAAAGAGGGCTACAGGGAGAAATGGAGAGAAGGTCAACGTTTCCACCCTCTGTTCTGCCTTGTGCTCTAGAGCGGGCGCCCCCGAGTGGATGCATGTCCTCCTCCATGGTCACAGCTCTGCAGGCACCCTTGTGTGTGTGCAGCATAGGGTGTAACGTGAGTATGGTCAAGTTCTTGCCTTGGTTGGGTGGTTTTTAAACCATAGCCTCTGTGTCGTTAAGAGCATCATCTGTAGACCATGGCCCCACACCACTATGTTGATTAATCAATATTGCACAATTAAAACTGAGTGCAACAAGACATCGGACAAATGTTGGAAAAGATCCTGTGGGTCGCAGGTGAAGCACACCCTAGGAGCCTGCTGTTGATTTTCCTGATGCATAGCTACGTGATTAGTGTTTCCACGCGGGTGAATTAGGAGCAGATTTCAGGGGAGAAGGAGGCCGGTCTTGGATCGATGATGATGACTGGTGGCGGATGAGTCGAGGATCATGACTACTGGTCTGGAAGGCTGAGGTCCAAGGCCGCGAGCAGGCTCCTCTGCGCCTCCTCATCCCCGCGACGGGACCTGCCAAGGCGTCCATGCATTGCATTCAGTTTGCTGTAATTGATCAGTGAGAGAATCATTAAAGAAATACTTGAATGAAGAAATGTCCTTCATTGTATCGCACACACTGGCGTCTGTTAAGGAGTAGAGGCTCAAAGGTGCTACTTCTTCCGAGGTTGGCGCTTACAATAGAAGCAGTGACTGAGTCCCTGTTTGGGTAGGGCCATGCTCATTATTGCTTGTTTTCTCAAGAAAAGATGTCATCAGAGTTTAACACATCCTTAAATGGCTAATGAAAAATAAAATGGCTAATCAAAGGTCCCTGTTTCTACATTCTGTTCTGCTTTGTGCCCTCAGAGCCGCGCTGCCGGGCGGGCCACGTCCCCCTCCATGGCCACAACTGTGCGGTGCCGCCCGTGTCCCGGGTGAGTACAGTCAAGTTCTTGCCTTGGTTTGGGTGGGTTTCAGCCATATTCCCTGCATTTTGTATAAACTGTGAAGGCTAACCATGGCCCAGTGATGAAGACTGTGGTGTGGTCCATTAGGAATGAATAATCAAAGAGACGTAGCCAATGTTGTGAGTGATCTGGTTGATGGCTATAACGTATTGGTAAGCATTTTATTCTGAAGTTTGTGACACTCATAGTTACTTAATCATCAGCATTTAAATGATTCATTAATAAATAAGCAAATCCAGAAGTTAGCAGAGGGGAGGAGGCTGATCTGGGATCAGTGATGATGACTGGTGGCGGACGTCGCGGTGACGACTGCTGGTCTGGAAGGCTGAGGTCCAGCACATCTGTCTCCTCTGCCGCCTCTGCTGCAGGCTTGGGGATAAACAAGAGAAAAAGCGGTATCTGTCATCGAATTCATGGCACTCAGACGACAGACTAATTGCGCGGAGGAGTGAAGGCGCGAGGGCGAGAACATCTCAAAGCTCCCTTCACCGCTCTGCTCTTCATCCTCAGGACGATGCACTTGAGTTGCACTTGAGTTGGCGAACCCGCTCTCCTGGGCCCCGCCCTCTGCGGTCGCCCCGTCACCAGGGGCTCAGAGACGGCCGTGAGTAGCAGTTGCACTTCTTCTTTAGCTTGAATATTTCTAAAGAGGCATTTAGTACGACCAAAGAAAGCCACTGGTGACCCCGTGATAAATACGCAATTATGTGAAATAACCCACATCAGCAGTAATGGCTGCTCATCATCTTCGACGATTCGGAGATGAATAATAATATGTGTCTGAAAATCAGAGGTTCCGTAAAAGTGGATCTAATCTACTGCCTTGATTAGAAATGATCCTACAGACAAGGAGAAGGGTGGACAGTGTCCTTGCTCTTTGTGTTCATGGATGTTGATGCTATTATTCTTGTGTGTATGACGAGTCTACAAGGAACCAGTAAATAAATGTAAGGAAATCAATGTGAATAGGTGGGCCATCAACCAGTTATCAAAGTATGTCATTCAGCACGTCAGTCCATTCATATATATTAAAACTCTGAAACAAAGGGCCGTTCAAGAAGCCTGCTGTTTTAGCTAAGGGTTCTAAAGATAGCAGTGATAGTTGCATTATTAGTTTAGATCAGTGAAGATCCATAAGCAAATATAGACGCGTGTAAGCAGGGCGTTCCAGCTATGAGAAGAAACACTGCCACGAGCGCGCAGACGCAGCGTGGAAACCAGGCGCACAGACAAGACCCCCGTTTTAAACGTCGCCCCTTGCTCCGCGTTCCCAGGACGAAGCACTTGAGGTGGTTCTGGTTTGATGGTTGCCTTTATGAGTCTGGTGCTTGAAGCCAACGTAATAGCCTCGTTGTCTGAATACGCTTTTTACCCAGGGCACTCACTGTGTGTTTAAAAAGCGTGAAATCCTATCACTGTAACCATCTACGGCACAATGCATCGCGAGCATACTCCATAGAAAATTAGTCTAGAAAGATGTGGGATAATCAAGGCTCTTGGCCTTAACTGTTTTGTCATCCATAGTTACTCAGTTTTAGGGAATAAATGAATTAGTTTACGAACAAATGTAGGTGACCACGAGGAAAGAAAGGTAGATATTTGGACCAGTGATGCTGACTGGTGACGGATGAGGCCTGTGTGATGGACAGTACCTGTCTGGAGCTTTGAGTTCCAACGCCATGAGAAATGCAGTCTAGGGGCCGATGCTGTGGGTGAAGCCACTGCCTGCAATGCCGGCATCCCATCTGGGCAACGGTTCAAGTCCCAGCTGCTCCACTTCCCATCCAGCTCTGTGCTGTGGCCTGGGAAAGCAGTGGAAGATGGGCCAAGTCCTTGGGCCCCTGCACCCGTGTGGGAGACCAGGAGGAAGCTCCTGGCTCCTGGCTTCGGATCAGCCAAGTCCTGGCTGTCTCTTCTCTCTGCCTTGCCCTCTCTGTAACTTTCCCTTTCATGTAACTAACATGACTGATGGGCCAAGCGCCAGGCAACATCAGGGATCAATGGAGACGAGTCTCCGCCCAGCCTTTTACTTCTCAGAGTGCGAGCACTGAGGCTGCGTTTTCCCACGTCCACATTCTCACCGGTGCCTTTGGCTGGGAACTTGGAGAGCAGTGTGATTGAGGTGTGATTGCGGTGTGATTGTGGTGTGATTGCGGTGTGATTGGTGTGATAGCGGTGTGATAGCGGTGTGATCGCGGTGTGATTGTGGTGTATTTGCGGTGTGATTACGGTGTGTTTGCAGTGTGATTGCGGTTTGATTGTGGTGTGTTTGTGGTGTGATTGCAGTGTGATCGCGGTGTGTTTGCGGTGTGATTGCAGTGTGATTGCGGTGTGATTGTGGTGTGATCGCGGTGTGATCGTGGTGTGATCGCGGTGTGATTGCAGTGTGATTGCGGTGTGTGTGCCACATTATGGGGATTTTTTAAGGCATTCACTGTAAAATCTGCAAAATACTCAACATTAACAGAGCCATCCATACCGGATGATCCATGTAGAATGGATGTGAAACATTATGTTCATTAATTAATGTTTCTAACATTGAGATTGATTAATGAAGCAGATGAAAGATGAGGCAAGTGGTTCTGTGGATTTTAGGGATACTTGAGGGTCTTGGGTGTGGGGATCTTGATTTGTGCTCCTCAGAGGGGCTGCACTGGAGTGAGTTAAATCTTGGGGTCACAAGAAACATTGCTTCCTCCCTGTGTGTGGTGCGAGCAACCGGTGTTGAGTCTCCATGAGTAGACGTGAAGTGTAGTCAAAGAAAGCCAGCCGCTGCCCTTGGCGAAGCAGAATTTCTTTTCTTTCTTTTTTTCTTTTTCTTTTTCTTTCTTTCTTTTTCTTTTTGACAGGCAGAGTTAGTGAGAGAGACAGAGAGAAAAATCTTCCTTCCATTGGTTCAGCCCCCAAATGGCCGCTACGGCTGGTGCTGCGCCGATCTGAAGCCAGGAGCCAGGTGCTTCTCCTGGTCTCCCATGGGGTGCAGGGCCCAAGCACTTGGGCCATCCTCCACTGCACTCCCTGGCCACAGCAGAGAGCTGGCCTGGAAGAGGGGCAACCAGGACAGAATCCGGTGCCCCGATCGGGACTAGAACCCGGGGTGCCGGCGCCACAGGCGGAGGATTAGCCTAGTGAGCTGCGCGCTGGCCCGGGTAAGCAGAATTGACACCACATTATGTTATTCACATGGAGGGGAAGCGTGGGGGGTTGTCAGTGGAAGCAGCAGGCTGGCGAGACAAGTGGATCCGAGGACAGATGCGGGACCCTGTGGAGTGTAGGTGTGGTGTTCACTGGGGGTTATTTTACCACTGTCAGGGGATGAATGGATGAATGGAGTCACAGAAGCAGATGAGAGAAAGAAACTGCAGCCTGGATCCACGACGAGCGCTGGCGGCGTCTGAGTCCGGGCGCCGACCGTCGTCGAACTCTGAGGCCCAGCATACGAAGAAACCGACCTCACTGCTTGGTCACAGGGATTTGTGCAGGGGGATTGAGGACGTCACAGGGATGTGGTCTGGGGTCTTGTGTTCATAGATTCTCATTCCATTTTAATACAGGGATTACTAAATGAATCAATGTATTATCAAAACATGCCAAAGACTTTAAATACATGCAATTTTTATTAAAAATAATTTAGGGCCGGCGCCGCGGCTCACTAGGCTAATCCTCCACCTTGTGGCGCTGGCACACCGGGTTCTAGTCCCGGTCGGGGTGCCGGATTCTGTCCTGGTTGCTCCTCTTCCAGGCCAGCTCTCTGCTGTGGCCTGGGAGTGCAGTGGAGGATGGCCCAAGTGCTTGGGCCCTGCACCCCATGGGAGACCAGGAGAAGTACCTGGCTCCTGGCTTCGGATCAGCGCAGTGCGCCGGCTGTGGATGCCATTTTGGGGGTTTACCAGCGGAAGGAAGACCTTTCTCTCTCTCACTGTCAAAAAAAAAAAAAAAAAAAAAGAAAAGAAAAGAAATATGAATGTTTTAAGTGGCCCATCTATTTGACTAAGGGTCAGTTGGCAATTTGATGGAAAAATTCACAACTATTTACCCACATTTGCAGGTACCTAACTGCTTCCAATACAAAATGTAGACTGGGAACACGAAGGAGTCAGCGATGGGCACAGAATGCAGACGACTCGGGCGAGTCCTTGCTTCTCATCGGTCTCCTCTGTCCTGCAGTCCTCGGAAAGGACACCGACCGGCTGCCGGGCGTCCCTCCGCAGTGCGCGCTGATGGGGCACTGGCACAGTGTGAGTCGGGTGGAAGGGCGTCTCGGTTAAAGGATTTTTTGAGGGGTCGTCACTGAATTATTCCAAACTCATCCCATGATGATGGCGGTTGATAAAAAAGATAGGTGATTATGAATTTGGCAAATAACCCTCCAGGCATGCAGAATATCCATTGTTCTTGGGTTTTTGTGAATGACGGCCTTAACAGTTAATACCGGTTAATTAATGAATTAATCAATAGAAACAAATGTGGATGGGAATCAAGAAAAAGAGGCCCAAACCAGGACCGATGATGACAACTGGAGTAGGAGTCATGGATGATGAATGACACGTGTCTCAAGCTCTGAGGTCCAATCAGAACAGGATCCTTGTCTGTGCCTCTGTCATCTGGTGTCTCAGGCATAGACAAGGCTCGTTTTCTTGGTTTGGGGTCATGAATTTTACTTGTACTGCAAAAATGACCTAAATAAATGATCACCATCGAACTACAAATAGTGATGGCAGAGTGACTCTCGTCCTCTGATCGCGTGTGGCGCGATGCAGCTGAGGCATGTGGTGGAGTTCATTACGAAGCGATACGGCTCACGTGTCTCAGCGCTTGGCCGGGAGTGATGTAGACAGCAGACGACACAGTTCGGGGGTGTGGCTTCTGTGACGACTCCATCGCTCTGGGTCCTCAGTGACCGAGGGGATGAGGCGGAGCGCGCGTCAGCAGAGCCTGTCCCAACCTCCTCGCCTCCTCTGCTTTGCTCTTGTCAGAAGGCACGCGCTGAGCCGCCCAGTGTCCCGCCCTGTTCCTGAGCTCCGTGGGTGCCTCTGGGGAGGGCCTCACGTCCATCCACGGTGAGTGGTCCTCAAAGTTCTCGTCTCGGTTTGGAGTGATTTATTTAGAGTGTTCACTGTAATATTTTTAAAAAGTATTAGATCTGTGCAAAGGAGATTGATCATTGCCTAACGATCAACATGGAACATATGTGAAGTACTACACTGAATAATTGAAAATTGCAACGGGAGAAGCATTAATGAAAGAGGTACATTTAGTGTGTAAATACAGATGTGAGGGCCACGTCCTTGGGTTTTAGTTTCCCAATCATCTATTTTATGATTATTGATGAATTAGTAAATCGATCAGTAATCGCACATAGATGAGGATGAGAAAAACTGTCCCAAGCCCGAACCAGTGACGGGGCTGTGGCGTGGGAGCAGAGATGATGAATGCGATGTGTTGGGCCCGGTAGTCCTCCCGTCTGCACTCCTGGAGGCGGGCCCCGGCGAGGGCAGGGGTCTGGTTCTTGCCTTGGTGTCGTGCAGCCGTGGAGGAGAACATGAGCCTGCACGTAAATGAACGCGGGGAAGAGCTGAAGTGCTGGTCTGTGATAAAGTGCGGGAGAAACAGCGCGGCCTGCATTGACTTGGACAATTAGTAGACCCCACGATGACACAGACAGTGACGAGGAAGCGTGATAACTCAGCTGCAAGTCTCACATTTGCTGGATTAAGAACGAGCAAATGAGCACAAGCGTGCGTTTATGAACACGCAGATGAGCGGTGACCCCTGTGGCGCACGGGAGAGGATGTCTCGGGTTCTCGTCCTTCTCCCCGCACTGTGGGTCACTGCGCACGGTTAGACACCTTCCTGTGGCGTCTAACAGGACAGGAGTCGCCCGCGTGTGGGCTAACGTGAGTTACAGTCACCATGGTTGGTTTGCTTGGGGTCGTTTGCTTGAGAGTACTCATAGTATTATTAAAAATTATTTTATAGTAATTATTAAAATTTATATATATTATATATTAATGTATAATTATATATATTTTTATAGTATTATTAAAATCAAGTATACTGAAAGTATGGCCCAAGAATTAGTGTGATATGAAGTCTTTTTTTTTTTTTTTTTGACAGGCAGAGTGGACAGTGAGAGAGAGAGACAGAGAGAAAGGTCTTCCTTTTGCTGTTGGTTCACCCTCCAATGGCCGCTGCGGCCGGCGCACCGCGCTGATCTGATGGCAGGAGCCAGGTAGTTCTCCTGGTCTCCCATGGGGTGCAGGGCCCAAGCACTTGGGCCATCCTCCACTGCACTCCCTGGCCACAGCAGAGAGCTGGCCTGGAAGAGGGGCAACCAGGACAGAATCCGGCGCCCCGACCGGGACTAGAACCCGGTGTGCCGGCGCCGCAAGGCGGAGGATTAGCCTAGTGAGCCGCGGCGCCAGCCGATATGAAGTCTTATATTGCATGATTAATAATGTATGACACTGATCAGTTAATGAAAGACCCGAGTCTGTGTGGAAATGATTCTCTAGACTGAGGTTAGGAATGTGATATAAAAATGGATGAAAAAAACCTGTGAAGGCCTTGGTGGAGTTTGAGCAGGTGTCTGAAACTCAGGTGCAGCACACAGCATGTGCGGTCACATTTTCCTCTTAGAAATAATCTTGAGGGGCTGGCACCGCGGCTCACTAGGCTAATCCTCCGCCTGCGGCGCCGGCACCCTGGGCCGCATGTTTGAGGTTGGCCATTTTGTTAAGAGAGAAGAAGTCCCCCTTATGAAATGTTAGTTAACAGCTCAACCATTAAATAAAGGAAGCACGGAGCCGGAGGGTCGATGGGACAGGCCGTAATTTTTTTAACTCCGCTGCAGAGCTTGGTTTTCTGCAGAATGGGTCAGAGACTCCCGGTCCTGAGACCTGTGACTGCCTCTGTGTCGGCAGAACCAAGCCCCGGGTGAGAGACGTCACAGCTGTGTCACCGTCCGGAGTTCTCCGAGGCGCATCCGTGCATCACTGGAGTGCGGAAGGCCGGGATGCGCCGGGTTCTCCCCGTTCGGCCATGTGATTGACGGGGCTGTGAAGCCGATGTTGGTGAGTTAGTGAATGATCAAGTGTAGCTGAGAGCCAAGTACAAGAGGCCCCATCTGAGCCGGCAATGACGCTGCTGGCGCAGGAGGCGCAGGAGGTGAGTAAGATGTGCTGGAGCCCCAAGACGCTTCCAGGAGAAGCCACAGTCTTCCGCCTCTGCTGGAAGTGATCCTGCACATAGATTCTGGAAACAAAAAGTGGCCATTTTCTTGGGGTACTTTGATGAATTTTGATTCTTTTACTCTAAATGCATCAGTGTAGGAGCCAATATACAATGTTATAATATTAATGATAAATTGTAAGATGTGATTAATGGGAAGCTTCATGTTAATTGATCCCTACATGCAATACTGAAATCAATTAATGAAAGAGAAATGTTGGTAACGGGAAGGCATTTGATAGGCCGATGTTAGAGGTGTCCAAGAATCTAGTTCTCTGGTTTCTGAACTCTTTGTGTGATTTATTCTCCTTAATGAGTTGATAAGGAATAAAGTCTGTAGACACGCATGATGAAGCTGGCGGCTGTGCCTGGATCAGTGACGGCTGCTCCGGCGTACGAGCTGTGCCGACGAATGGATGCTTGCAAGAACTCTGAGGTCCAGCAAGAGCAGAACCAGGCCGCTGCCTTTGTTGGGCACAAACAGAACCTCTGAACTCGCTTCCCTCTCGGCTGCTTTGTGTTTCCCAGGCACAGCTGCGCTGACTCGCGCTTCCCTGAGCTGCACGGCTGTGCCTGAAGCAGGAAGACCAGCGTGAGGGACAGCCCTGTCTTGTCTGGGCTTTGGAGGTTTGCTCAGTACAGTCACCGACTCTGGCTTTGAAATACAGCAAATATAGTCAAAGAAGGCCAACCGTTGCGTAGGTTATGCTAACGAGGGGGATTCATGAGAGAGACACACAAATGATTCCATAGGCAGATGTTAGGGATCCTTAGGGACTTTTTTCCCTTGAAATTTTTGATTCATAGTCGATTTTATTGTAATTATTCATAACTCGTGAATAATAAAATGTAGATTAGTATGAAGAAAATGCACTCAATGGTGGAACCGGCGGTGTGAGTCTTGGATGATGGCTGACGTGGAGCTGGGAGGTGAGCAAGCAGGAAACTTGGTCCATGTGTTGGGCTCATTTGTGAGTGACCTGAGGTGTGGAAGCTGGGAATATTTTATTTTGGATTCATGGATTTGTATATTATTATTCCTGTACATTGGTCCATGGTGGACGTAGTGAACAATTCTAGAATTCAGCATTCTCACCTGTGAATATGTGTGGTGAGGCAGGACGCGCCGATGGCATGTTCAAGGCTAACTACAGTAGAGAAGCCAACACATGAAAGGTGTCACGTAGACTCAGATAAGGAAGCCGTGGCCAGTCTTTTTGGGTGAGTCAGTTCAAGGTTGTCTTGTAAGAAAAACACACGTATGTTAGGATAAATTGAGAAATGCCTGCAGGACAGGATACAGGGGATGGGGAAGATGAGTCATTGGAGAGAAGGCAATTGGCTCCTCTGCCGCGTTCTTCCGCACTGCGCCTGCACTGTGCTGCCTTAAGGATCCGTTCGTTCAGGAGCTGTGTGGGTGTCTGTATGTGCAGGCCGTGGAGCCCAACGCATGTAACTGCCAGCGTTCTTGTCTTGTCTTTGAATGTTTGTAAAAGTTGTCACTGTATTATTGTAGAGCTTAGGATGTAATCAGTTAAGACTAACCACTAACCATGGCCTAATCTTAAAGATGGGATTGATAAAATCATTATGTTGATTAACACATATAATACATGAAATGCTGAGGTCAGCTAGTAAAATCAATCTATTGGGAAGTAACTTTATAGACAGGTGTCAGAGGCATACACAAATCTTGTTCTTGGATTTTTGTGACTTTCTGATGCTAATTTATTTTATTGGTGAATTAATCAGCAAGTGCAGACATGGGTGAAGACAGAGTGAACCTGGGCCGGCACTGAAGAGTAGGCATAATGACTACACACGCCAGAACTTGAGGCTCAACATGAAAAGAGAAATAATTTAGTTCCTTCGATAGAATTGACTGTATAAACTTGGTATTAGGCCTATCAAGGGTCTTAATGTATGTCATGGCTATTGATTCCATTGCTCAAATTAATTAACGTTAGGATAGCTTAAAAATGTGTGAGTTAGTAAAGAACCCAAGGTTGCCTCTGTTAGAGAAAGAAAGTTACTCCATTTTACTGGTGTTCTTAAGATCTGAGAGGCAGATATCAATTGCTGGAAGAAGACTTAGGGAAAACACTTAAAGACATTGGTATAAGCAATGAGTTTTTGAGTTATTTATAAGACCCTAAAGCATGGGCAGCAAAAGCAAAACTAGACAGTGGGATCCCATCAGGCTCAGAAACTCACGCCAGCAAATGAAATCAGACTTCTGGCAGAGTGGGAGCAAATATTTGCAAGCCAGTTACGTGACAAAGGATTACTGTTCAGAATATATCAGGAACCCCAGCATCAAGAAAGCAGCTAATCCAGCGAAGAAATGGGCAAAGGACGTGAACAGAGAGATCCTCGGAAGCAGAACCAGTGGCCAACCAGCCCACGAGAAACGCTCTGTCACCGTGAGATGCCGCTGTCAGTAAGACAGAAAGTCGCGTGTGCTGTGGACGCGGGCAGAGGCGGGTTCTCCTACACTGGAAATGCAAGCTAGCACAGCCGCTGTGCCAACCAGTGTGCCGATGTCTTAACCAGGATCGGGGCTGACCGTGCTCTGTGGCCACGGAGTGTGCGGGCTCACGTAAGCCAGAGTCAGCGCTCTTGTCTTGTCGGGTGGTTTGTTCGCTGGTGCTTGGAGTGCTGTAAGAGGTGAATCAATGGGCACAAGCCAAATAAAATCGAAGAAGGCGACAAACGAGACCGCGCCGTGCGGCGCAGCTGTGGACAGATTGGTGCCATTTCCGACCTCTCCCGGCCACTCGATGTGTTGCTTTAGCTTTGTCATCACTGCTTTGTATTGCTGGCTACAATGCTGCTTTGTTAACTGCATGAGGTGGGAGCACATAGGAAATGAACAGTTGTCAAGGTCAAGTGGCCCATTCTTCTTGTTCATTGTCACAGCTTAATAGAATGTGTAATTGTAAGGAGAGTAGTACATGAATCTGTGATATAAATGGAATCAGCTCTCAAAGGAAGGTGTAAAATTATATTTTCACACCATTGTTGTAGTCCATTCAAGACCTCTCCCGGCACTGAGCCTGCTGACGAATGGCGGGAGCAGTCGGTGAGCCTTGCTGGGCTTTGCTGGGCTGTTGTGTGCGTCGGTTCTGCTGTGAGTGAGTCATCGCATGTAAATATCGTGCAAATGAATACATAAAAACCTGCTGGACGTGTGATTTCCATAAGCATGTTTACTGGAATAGAGTTGTAATTTCATGTTTCTCGAACAATGGAAATAGCCCCAGCCTGGGACCCACGTCAGCCGGCGGCACGTGCGCAGGTACGTAATGACTCAGGAGATTAAAGCCACCAAGCACGGACCAGTTAGGAGGATTTGTTCTGAAGCGAGTATTAGAATTGAGTCTTTTAGTCCAGAGAAGCAAATTTTTTTTTAAATTTTTATTTATTTATTTGACAGGCAGAGTTAAGACAGTGAGAGTGAGAGACAGAGAGAGAGGTCTTCCATCTGCTGGTTCACTCCCCAAAAGGCCGCTCTGAAGCCAGGAGCCAGGAGCTTCCTCCTGGTCTCCCACATGGGTGCAGGGGCCCAAGGACTTGGGCCATCTTCTACTGCTTTCCTAGGCCATAGCAGAGAGCTGGATGGGAAGAGGAGCAGCCGGGACTAGAACCTGCGCCCATATGGGATGCTGGTGCCGCAGGCGGAGGATTAACCTAGTGCGCCACAGTGCCGGCCCCCAGAGAAGCAAATTTAAAAAGAGAGTGAAACTTTCAATTCATGTTCATAGCTGTGTATTATTCCTCCTTGGTTTTCTTACACCTGTGATTGATAGGTCTGTGGGTCAGATTTAAAGCGTAGATCTCAAGGTGTGCTGTTGATGTGCATGGTACCTGTTTTAGAGGCTGAATTTATAAAGAAAGTAAGATGATGTCAGCTCGTAGAGGACAGGGTTTGAGTGCTCACTGTGGGCTCGTGACCCCTACGGGAGGCGGGGTGTATGGGCTCCAGGGGGACAGTGCCCAGGGAGGACTGGGGTGTGCGTAACCCACTGGGCTTCGTAAGCCCCAGAGCCACTGCCTGCCGTGTTCCCAGCAGGGCCTGTGGGCTCCGTCTCTGGGCCTTTGTGGATTTTGATTTCCTGACCCTCAGTAAGTTTAAAAATAAACGAATACGGCAGTGTGCGTGGGAGAAGCGTGCGCGTGCGTTGTTTGCAGGGGTGTGGCGGGGGTTCTTGTTGATAGCAGCTGCGATGATAGATTCATGAATGAAATCGTAAACAGACCAAAGGGTAGGAGTGAGTGGGCCAGCCAGAGATTTGTAGCAGTTAGGGTTCTCGCTTTGTGCCCAGGTGGGTCGTTTATTCGAGAGAAAAAGAAGTGAGTGACAGCACATGGAGACCGGTTAATGAAGGAGACGTTGTGAGGGGTGCTCAAGGGTGATGGTTCCGGTTTCTGTGATCCGGGGAGACGTTTCCTTGTCATTACTCAGTTGAAGTGTTCCTCAGTCAGTACACGTGGGACGGAGGGGGCAGAGGTGGGACGTCCCGATGGCCATCACTGCTGGCCGTGGCGTTGCGGGTGCCCAGCGCTGAGTGTGTCCGACTCTGGGCTGCGTGGCCTCTCCTGGCGGAAGCGAGCCTACGGAAGCCTTAGATGTGCCCGGAGGTCCCATTCTTGACCTTCTGAGGTTCACAGATTTTGTTTGCACTGTTCCCAAGCACCAGTGACAAAATGCCCATGATAAGTGAAGTTGAAGAGGGTGAAGCGTGGGCAAGGGAAGAAATCGTGGTCGCAATCCAGTGGGTCCTGGTGTGGCCTCTTTGTAGACAGTGACAGGTGATAGTCACTGGCTGCTGTGGGCGCTGCTGGGTGCTCTCTCGGGGGGGTCCCTCAGATTTTGTATCTCGCTCCATATTGTCCTGGGTCAGTTCCAAGTTCGAGGCTAAGCGTTTTCTTAACAGAAAGCATGGATGTATTATGCAAATTTAGTAAATAGCAAATACTAGTTGGGAAAGGAGAAGAACAGATATCTTGACTTTGTTCCGCTCTGCTTTGTAATCCTCGGATGGAAGCCTCGCGGGCGGTGACCCCCTCTGGCACGGTCACGGGCTCGCTGGCTGCCTCTGTGTTAGGAACGTGGAGACCGTGTGAGTGTTGTCAGAGTTCTTTTCGTGGTTTGGGAGGTTTGTTTAAGGGTATTCACTGTATCATTGAAATCTTAGAAATATAATTATGTAGCTCACTGATAAATAGAGCATTAAATATAAAGCTTTCTGTGGGTTAATGGGTGAATGAAACTGAAGCTAGTTAATGAGGAGGTAACATCGCTGTGAGATGATTCTCGTAGGAACAGGGCTTCCTTAGGTTCCCGTGAATGGTAAGGCTTAAGTAGCTGTCAATGAGCACCAGTCCTGGGTCAGCAATGACCACTCGTGACGTTTGAAGGGAGTCTGATCTCGTAGACGGAGTTCAGAAATACAAGAGCGTGTTTGTTGTTACCGATTTTCATAATTGGATCAGTGTAAGAATCAATCAGTGTGTAATAGAGATGGAAACGAGAATCATTATCCAATTATGAAAGTCTGTGTCGAGGTTAGGCATTCTACACCCTGACACATCCCCTCACTGGCTGAAGATGTAGGGGGTGTAATTATAGCCAATACTGACATTCTGGGTCAATTGTCGGTTTGGATTGCTCCAATCGAAGAGAAAATGAAATCAAATCTGCCCACTAATGATGGCCTCAGTGGCTGACTAATGATGGGAGGGACAGTGCTCCACGTGGGTCTGTCTCTGCCATCCCCGTCTCGACTGTTCCAGCCCAGGGTGTGGACGCACTTGTCTGAGGGGTCACATGCTGTGTTTGCACCCGGCTTAGCAAGCACCTTGCCCAGGGTCACCCCTTTGAGTGTTTTTAAGAGGATTTAATGAATTATAAAACAATTACATAATATAACCGATTATATCCCCAAGACAGACATAGGATTACTATGAAGGGTCTAATTTTAATGTCTGTGAAAACTGAGGTTAATGAATGACTCAGATATATCATTGTTAGAATTTTTTTTAAAAGATTCATTTATTGGCTGGTGCCATGGCTCAATAGGCTAATCCTCTGCCTTGTGGCGCCGGCACACCAGGTTCTAGTCCCGGTTGGGGCGCCGGATTCTATCCCGGTTGTCCCTCTTCCAGGACAGCTCTCTGCTGTGGCCAGGGAGTGCAGTGGAGGATGGCCCAAGTGCTTGGGCCCTGCACCCCATGGGAGACCAGGAGAAGCACCTGGATCCTGCCATCGGATCAGCGCAGTGCCGGCCGTAGCAGCCATTTGGGGGGTGAACCAACGGAAGGAAGACCTTTCTCTCTGTCTCTCTCTCTCTCTCTCACTGTCCACTCTGCCTGTCAAAAATAAAAATAAAAAAAAGATTAATTAATTTATTTGAAAGGCAGAGTTACAGAGAGGCAGAGGCGGGAAACAGAGAGAGAGAGAGAGAGAGAGAGAGAGAAAGGTCTTCCATCTGCTGGTTCACTCCCCAAATGGCCACAATGGCTGGAGCTGCGCCAATCCAAAGCCAGGAGTTTGGAGCCTCCTCTGGGTGCCCTTCGTGGGCGCAGAGGCCGAAGGCCTTTGGCCATCTTCCACTGCTTTCCCAGGTCATAGCAGAGAGCTGGATCAGAATTGGAGCAGCTGGGCTATGAACTGGCACCTGTGAAATAATTCTTTTTAAGATTAGAAATATCAAGGCTCTTCTGTTTTTGTGATTCAGAGGCTTCAAATCATCGTTAGTGACATAATGAATTAGTCAGCAGGCAGTGTGGAAACGGTGCGTACAGAACACTGCTCCTGGGCCCAGGGCGACCGCGGGTGGCATGAGTCAGGTGTGACGAATCCGTGTCTGGAGCTCCGAAGTTTGTCACCAGAGAAGTGTAACCCATTCCCTGTGTTTGGCGGACCCTGGACTCAGGTGTCGGGAGTACAGAATATGTTTGTATCTGGTCTTTCTGATTATGTATTTTCATTATTTCTTTTTTTTTAACCTGGATCAATAAATATGGATAATATATAAATACCTAAAAAGTAGAATAGGTGAACATTGGCCAATCATAAAAATACAGGATGAGGTAAGACGTGCTGTCTCTGTCTATAGAAAACACTAAAGTCCAGAGAGAAACAAGTGCTGTGTGCCGGTGAGCTCTGGCTGATGAAGGTGTAAGTATACGCATCATAGACAGTGTTTGCGTTCTTGGTCAGGGCAGCTTCAGAACTGGCCATGTTTTTGGAGAGAATGGAATAAATGGACTCTTTTTTGAGACTGGCTTATTTCACTGTGCATGGTGGTTTCCAGTTGCATCCATGTTATTGCAAAAGACAGGGCTTCATCCTTTTTGATGGCTGAGTAGTATTCCACTGTGTGTGTGTGTGTGTGTGTGTGTGTGTACCACGTTTCCTTTTGTTCTCTCTGACATGTAGCAGTTAATATACAATATCCAAAAACTCACAGGAACGGAGTGGTCATTTGGGGATACGATTGTCTTTTTAGCCCTTGTTTATATCATTGTGCAACTGCGTCTTCCTGCTTTTTACCTGTTGAATATGAGGATTAGTGGCAGATTCAGCCGTGAGTATAGAGTGGATTAACGCGGTGGCTTCACAAAAACTGATGAAGAGAGGGGAAGGTTGGGGGAGGGCTTTGGGGGGGCAGGGGATGAGGGGAGCGTGGTTGTCTTCCTGGAACTGTGCCTATGGGATGCATAAAACCCGTTCTTTTATATTAACAAAACTTTAAAAAAGGAGTGATACACTCTGAATCATGACTAGCGACGCTGAGAGCGAAGCTCAGCAGTGGGAATCTGTTCTGTGCTCCTCCAGCCGTTAGGACTGGAGTATACGCATACGTCACATGTGTGTGCATGCACACACGTGCATAAATGCAGACGGGGCCTTGTCAGCTTGTAAAATAAGCGATGAAACAAGGTAGACCGTGTGACTTATGGAAACCGCTGGCAGCCCAGAGAAGTACGTGTCCATCTCTGTAACCTCCTGGGCTAACGATGATGCACACAGCAGATAATTCAAAGATACTGTTCACCATCTGGGTGGAGGCAGGTTACAAATCGTTGTTTCCTGAAGGGGAAGTGTAACACACGTTCTCCGAACACCGAGTTCCCAGGGGGGTGTCGCCAAGGACGGTGACAAGCAGAGAGGCCAAGGAGGATGTCCCGTTGTCAGTGACCTGCTTCACTCTGCAGGCCGCAGGATGGACGCTTGCCCGGTGATCGGCACCTTCTTGGACGGCAGGTACCCCTTGGTTACATCTGTGTGTTGGGAGAAGGAAGGACGCTGGGGGTAGTTGTTCGTGGCATCGTCTGGCCGGGTTTTAAAGGTGTAAACCGCCCTAGTCCACGGTGTCAGAGACAAGCAGAGGGACACGCCTGCCACTGTGAACACCAGGCTGAGAGAGGAAGCGTTGTGTGCAGTAATCCACGTATGAAGCACCGAGCCCAGTTAATGAACAACATTGGGTCCCTGGGTATGAGTGTACAGGTGGATGTCAGGGTGTTCGGCACTCCTGTTGTGTCTAGGTCTGTGTGCATTGCTTTACTAAGTAATCAACGGACAAATCTGTATTCGTCTGAAGTGGAACGCAGCCAGTCCTGGGCCAGCAGTTGTGACTGGTGGCATGTCAGTCACACACCGTGAACACCATTCATCTGGAACCCTCCTTCCCCCTTTTTGAAGTGACCCTTCGGGCAGATGTCAGGAAGTATGAAGACCTTATTCTCGATCTTTTTCTAGCCATACATTTTGGAATGACAGGCGTGGTGGTGAGGGGGGTTAAGCTGCTGTGTGGGTGTCTGCGTGCCGTGCTGGTGTGCCAGCTCAAGTCCCAGTCCCTGCGATTCAAATCCAGTCCCTGCTACTGCCTCATGGGAGCTGTAGATTATTGTATAGTGCTTGGTCCCCTGCCACCAACCTGGGAGACCTGGGTGGAATCTGAGCTCTTGGCCCCAACCTGGCCCAGCTCTGGCTGTGGTGGGCATTTGGGGTGTGAACCATCTGGTGGAAGTCTCTCTCTCTCTCTCTCTCTCTCTGTTGTTCTGCCTTTTGAGTAGATGAAAATAAATAAACATTTAGAAAAAATAAGAAAAATTACTGGAAAAGAGCCAAGGGCAGGATAAAAACCCATAAGCATAAGAAAATTGAGATACAGATGGTGGAGCATTGTATGTGTAAGGGGAAATGGGCATTGGTGTAAATCAGAATTAATAATACGTGGGGTCGGGAGAGGATGCCTCAGTGCCTCTTAGCGCCTTCTCTGCTCGGTGCTTGTCAGAATGGAGGCACTGAATGATTGAGACTTCCAGTGATTAGATCCGTCTTGTTAGGAGAGAGACCCATGTGCGTAGCTACGAATTCTTATCTTCCTTTGAGTAGTGGACTGAAGATGTTCACAGTATTATTAAGGATTTTAAATGAATTGAAAATTAACCATGACCCAGTTACAGATACGCTGTTTCATTATGTTTATTAATTGATAATGTGCCACACAAGGGCTGATTAATGAAAGTGACACAATCTATGCGGGACAGGAGTGTAGACAGACACCAGAGATGTCAGGTCTCATGTTCCCAGGTTGCTGTAGAGCGTGTTTTGATTTTATTCTTCAAATGAATTAATGACTTGCTCAAAGTAAATGATGAACAGAATGAAAATTGAGAGGGTGCTGGCTGTAGTGACAGTGTAGGCTGGCATTGTCTGTGACCCCACACAGTGAATGAGAAGTGCTTGCAACTTGGTGTCCAAAGCAAAGCAAGCGTGGGCCTTTTGGGGGTGGAAGTCAGCCTGTAGACAAGCATCGGGACCATGAAAGGGTCTGAAGTTGCCTCTGTTGCTGTGTTTTCTTTCCATTCTTACAGTTAGACCAGTGGACAGACAGACACATTCAATTAAAAACGTGGTGGCCCAGGGATTCTGAGTGCATTCTGACAACACTGACTGAAATGAATGTCCTGTGACCATGGTGCTTTCTGCTAAGGATGGTGCAGACTGTGTCAGTTAGCGACAACGTTTGTGTTCAGTTAAGAGGAAAACTATATATAGCCTGAGTTAATTATTGCCACAATGACTGACTGGCTGTGGACAAGCCAGCCTCCCGTTCTGTGGTCTCCACAGCGGCCCTGTCTGAGCTGCTTTGAGAGTTGATCTTGACCTTGACCTTGACCTTGGTCTCTGTGGTTGCATCCCTGCTTGGAGCCTGGGGATCAGTGTGAAGCACAAAGTTCTTGTCCTGGTTCGGGGGTCTCTTGGGTCTCCGCACTGCGTTAAAGCAGGTGTGGAGTGCGGTCACCGACAGCCGCAGCCATCGCAAACTGGGGGTGAGTGTGCGTCCTTGTACCGGCTCTTGCATGTGTGGAAGCCACGACCATCGAGAAGGGTACGTGTCGATGTCTGAGCAATTCTGGACGCGTGCTGCAGATTTCCCTGGTCTCGTTGAACACTCGTGAGTCATGCTTTTAACAGTATTTTGAGGGAGTTAATTACATTCATTACTAAACAGTGTAGAGAAGAAGAAAGTGAGCGCTGGGACCGTGATGACAGCTGCCGGCGCATGAGTCTTGGGATGAATAACTCGTGCCCGAAACTCTGAGGTCCAGCCCGGAAGAGATCTCGCAAGCTCAGAGCAGCGGGCCAGTGGCCCGTTTGGAAAAACCCTCTACTGCTCTGGACTCCTCAGAAGGGCGCTTTGAGGTTCCTTGTGCGTCCTCCACGGTCTCCAGCCCATTGGCTGCGTCTCTGTGTTGGACGTGACCCCAGCGTGAGTCACAGAGTGCTGGTGTTCAGGGTGTTCACTGCAGTATTAGAGCATGAAATAGTCACAGAAGGCAGTTGACACGTACGGAGTTAGTGTGAATGATTTTGACGAACGCGTGTGTCAATAACTGAGGATGATGAAGGTGCAACATGGAGGTGAGATCATGCAGACCAGGACTGTGAAGGTGATCCCTGAGACTGTGTGAAGGTGATCCCTGAGACTGTGTGGCTCAAAGGGTTTCAAATGACTTCAGGAAACTAATGACCCAGTCAGCAGACGAGTGGACAGCACGAGGGCCGGTCCGGGATCTTTGGTGACTGCTGGTGCTGTCCGAGCTATAGACGGTGAGTATGTGTCTGGAACGCCGAGGTGCAGCCTTGGGAACTCTGGTCTTCTGTGTGTGTATTTCCTTTGCATTATGATCACTGAACCAGTCGCCCTTTGGTTGGGTCTCTGTGAGGACGGGAAGTCCAAGGTGAGTAACTCCGAATGTGTTTGTCTTCACTGGAGTGGCTTTTGTCTTTACGAAGACGTATTAGACAGCACCAGGGACGAGCAAGCGTGCTGGTCTGGACTGGGTTGGTAAGAGCGTTGCTGTGATCCGTGTGCGTCTGGGACCCTTCAGTGCACTGTCTTTGTAGAAGTGGACGTCAGGGCTCTCGTGGATGTTCGCCTCGCACTTTGTGATCTGCGTGTATTTCCACGAGCGAGGTGATCCAGAGACACGCCTCTGTCAGTGTGAGGTGGGAGAGTCAGCCTGGGCAGTGGTGAGTCACACACGATGGGCACCTCTGCCTGCAGCTTGGAGCGCCAACACGTGGAATATTCCATCCATTCCTCTTGGAAGGGGCCCGGGCTGTGGACACACTCGGGACATACAAGGCTCTTGTTTTTGATCTTTGTGTTCATGAAATTTTTTTTTTTTTTTTGACAGGCAGTTGGACAGTGAGAGAGACAGAGAAAGGTCTTCCTTTGCCGTTGGTTCACCTCCAATGGCCGCCGCGGCTGGCGTGGTGCGGCCGGCGCACCGCGCTGATCCGATGGCAGGAGCCAGGCACTTCTCCTGGTCTCCCATGGGGTGCAGGGCCCAAGCACCTGGGCCATCCTCCACTGCACTCCTGGGCCACAGCAGAGAGCTGGCCTGGAAGAGGGGCAACCGGGACAGAATCCGGCGCCCCGACCGGGACTAGAACCCCGTGTGCTGGTGCCGCGAGACGGAGGATTAGCCTAGTGAGCCACGGTGCCGGCCATGTTCATGAATTTTTAAAATATTATCCTAACAGAACCTTGGACAAGATACATTGACAAACGTATAAGTGAATTGAGATGAAGAGTGTGGAACATTGTTCACTACTCAAATGTGTAGCAAGGAAAAGTAGCGTTGATAGAAATCGGAGCAGATAATGAGTCTATCAGGTGTTTTGCAGCGTGAACGTGACGGGTGTGTGCTTCGTGCTCTCGGGAGCGGAGAGGCCCGGCTGACTGCGGCAATTCTGCCGTGACCCAGGCTACCCCAAGGTGAGTCAGGGTCAGAGTTCTTATCTTGGTCTGAGCCATTTGTTTGAAGGAATTTATGACATTAATAAATACAGAGTATTAAATTGTTCAGTTATATTGAAGGAATAAATTCAAGAGCTCAACAGTACAGCAGGGTGCCTGGAGCTAGTAACAGTGCATGTATTTATTCTGGAAAAAGGTGAAGAGAGTAGATGCTGAATGTTCTAACATGAAACTGATTTACTCTTCAAAGTCACGCACTTCTTAGTCAGATTAGTCCTTCTATATTGAATATATAGATTATATTTGTATGCAGGCTCTTAAACACTGTGTGGTACATCATAAACACATACAATTTTACCTGTCAGTTAAAGATTAAAAAGTAATAAATTACTGACAAATTAATCACGGCTCAGCAGTAGACGCCACGTGCGGCGTGCTGTTTGCTCTGCGCATGCAGCGTGCTGTCAGGTTTGGAGCTCTCGTCCATGTTGAAGTTGATTCTGTAGGTGGATGTCACAGACGTTCAAGGAGCTTCCTGGATTTTTCTGAACCATGTATTTGTTTATTGCTAACGACCTAATTATTTAACCAGTAAAAATATAGGCACGAAAGAAGAATGAGAGAACCAAACGTGGACCAGCGTGACAGCTGGTGCGTTTGGGGCTGGGTGTCTGGAACACTGAGCTCGGGCGCGCTGAGGCCCGTCCCTCTGTTCGCATTGAGTCTATGGGGAAATACTAGGGGTGTGCAAAGATGACGTCCTAGAGTTGAGTTGGCACATTTAGCATTTTTATTAATGATGCGATTTATTAATGAGAGTATTTATAATGATCAATGAGAAATTCACTAACCTAAATGAATAAACACACATAGAAGACAGTGAGGCATTGTCCAACCGTAGGCACATGTGTTGAGGTAAGATTATTAATAAGAATTAAAGACACAGATAGCCATTTAGAAATAATGGATAATCAGTGTTATTACCTTGAGTAAGAATCACAATCTTACCTAAGTGTCAATATTATTGTTCTAAGTTAATCTTAAAGTATTCCTTCTCAATATAAAAAATCATGTATACGTATACACACACACACACACAGTGAAAATGTTATATATTGTCTAAGTGGGACCCACAAAAGAAGAATCAAGAGTCAGGGGGTGAAGTCTGAGTTTTTTGTTATCTTCTCCATCTGGTACCCTAGAATGGACTGGCCCTGATCTGACCGAAGCCTTCCGCCGGGTCACATGCTGTGTGGTCGCTCTACGTTTTACGAGCCCAGAGATTAACGTGAGCGGTGGTGAACGTTCTCTCCCTGGTTTGAGGTTTTCTTTCTTTCATCCTCAGGCTTACTCACTCTGTTACTCATTGTAAAGAGTGTGAAATGTGATTAAAGCCTAAACTTGTAGCCCAGTGACTAATCCAGGATACGACACTGACATCAGTTGATACTAGGCGAAAACCGGGATAATTCATGAAAGTGACGCTGATGCGAGAATAACTCGGTATACGGAAAGGAGCATCGAGGCTGTCCTTCAGTTTCTGTGCATGGTAGTATTTTGAAATTATTATCTGTGGGAGACTAGAGAAAGAGGGCTCACGCCGGTCGCTGGTGGCCACTGGTGGCGGGTGCGTCACGGCGATGACTACGTGTCTAGAACTCTGAGGTCCAGAGTGGGAGAAATGTGATCCATTTTCCTGGTTAGTGTGATCCTGTAGGCACTGTCAGGGCTCTGCAGGAGTCTTGGTTCTGGCCTCACACATTTTCATTTTATGATTACAATTAGGTAAAGATTCCGTAAATAAATCATAGGTGTATAAAATGAACATGATAAAGCATTGTTCAATTACAAAAATATAGGATGATCCAAGAGAATATTAATATGTTATAAAAACCGCAAGCCTCCTTTAAATAAACGGGGCATGGCTGTTACCCTTTGCACAGTGCATGATCCGGACAGTGTCCATGTTCAGTCTTAGTAGTGAGTGGAAAGTCATTCACTGTTACAAAAGGAAAAAATACGGCTGCGATTGCTACAGTGTTGATTGCCTACGTGAAAGACGAAAAGCAAGTTCCCTGGCTGGCGGGGCGTCCCACGGGTTCTCTCTGTTACTGGTATACTGGTATACTGTCAGAGAAGGCGAACAGAGCCCGTAGACATGTGGGGTTAGCGTGAAGCGTTAGTGATTCGTGTGGCTATGAGACATGAAGGACACTTAGAGAGATTTATTGCAGTGAGGCTGACTCTAGGTGCCTATTAGGGATGTCAGTTCTCTTGGGTTTTTGTGAATTGCAGAGTTTTAGAATTATAATTATTGAATCAGTGAGCTAGTCAGTAAATAATCGGGTCGTGGACGAGGGAGAAGCCGGCCTTTCTGGGCCTGTGGTGACCGGTGCTGGCGTCCGAAGCACCAGTCAGGTTCCGGCAGGGCGGAAACCCCGCGTCCCTTCCAGGCTCTTCCTCCTGTTTCTGTAACTGGAGCAATGAAGTGCCACACGGACGAGCGTTTAATAAACCGAGATGAAGCGGACGGCGCGGCGCCGGAGTGTTTAGGACGAACACAGCACTGCTAGAACTGTACCGAACGTGAAACCCTTCCTGTGCGCTGAAAACAGCGACATCAGTGGTTTGGCACTGCGAGTTCTCCCGGACAGCATGGATTACGGGCAGAGTTCACGTCGGGGTCAGTGGCGAGTCCTTCGTTTTCTGAAGAAAAAGTGAAATAAGGTAGGACTGTGTGAATGCCTGACCCGATGGCAGAGGGAAGGCAGGCTCCATGGCTGCCGTCCGAGACCCTCAGCCAAAGCTCTGCTTTCTCACCCTCAGGGTGAGCTCCGTCGCGGGGACCTCGGGGACGTCGTGGCCACAGCCGTGTGCCTGCGCCTGCCTGTGAAGCCTGGGCACCTCGAGTGACGGTCAGTGTTCTTGCCTTGGGCGTCTCAACTGGACTTTTAGAAATCGGGTGACATAATAAAGACAGCCAGCGTCGGCCAGTGGCAAACGTGAGATTGGTGCCAAGTGTTTGGAAATTCTTAGAAATAATGTCACAGGAAATTAATGCTAGCATAAATACACTGACTATAACAACGACTGATGAAGACGGGAAACACGTTGATTGTTAAGATACACGGTAAAGGGGAACAATGCGAATTTAAAGTAGACGAATGATAATGGGGCAAGTGTGTGGGCAAGTTCGTTTTGTTTCTGGCTAAAGAAGTTTCTGCAGCAGTTTTTCATCTGGGTTAGTTGCGTGACTGATGTGTCCAGAAAAAGATAAACATTCAAATACCCGTGAAGGCGGGAGGGTCTATCAGTCGACAGAGGAGGTGTCTCGGTGTTTGA